TACAACAAACATTAAAGAAATCCAACAAAGAAAGAGCGTATGACAATCTCAAAATGTACAATACAAATACTAATGTATTACAAACCAAGATTCACACCTCCCGCACATCATCCAAAAAGACATCCTCTGCACTGATCACATGACAAGGGAGAACAAATAGACTTAAGGAGCTCAAAACACTAAAAAAAATAAAAAAATAAAAAAAAAACATAAATAAAAAAATAAATAAATAAATAAATAAATAAAAAGAAAAAAAAAGAAAATAGAGGGACTCAACTCATTTGAAGTGTCACTAAACGGTTATACAATAACTGGCGGTTAAAGTAAGGGTCGGGACATTTCTCAAACACACTCGAAGCGCTCGACCAATCACAACACACTGATCCAGCCGACCAATCAGAGCACAGTGTGCTTTTCAGAAGGAGGGGCTTCATAGAGAAAGCAAGTGAACAGAGCGTTACTGACAGACTGGGAAAAGAGGAGCCGCAACAATGGAGAATATGAGGAAAATAATGCATGAAACCTGTTCTAGTAGAGCCTAAAGCAACATCAAGACTGAAAAGGGCATAATAGGTCCTCTTTAAATGCAAAACACATGAACACATTTAACCACCTTATACACTCAGTGTGCTTTATGGGAAAAATAATCAACATTCAAGCAGGAAAACCTGTTCTAGTAGAGCCTTAAAACACAATCAAGAATCCACTAGCTTGAAGGAAACTCTATCGCCCCCTTGAGTACTGAGGTTTGTCATGAACACCACCACACATTTAGTATGTACCACGGGCCGGTGTGAATCAATATATGCACCCGCTTAGTTTTCAAGACATGAATGTGCCCAGACATATTTAAAAACCCTCTCAACCATGACATACACAACACCCTTGACACCAAAAACACACACAGTCTCCGCTACATGTCCACACACACGGGCCTCCTCTCGTACTGGTTAATGAGAGCAGCGAGCTGGTAATGCCAAGGTCACGGGGTCGAGTCCTGCTGTGCCGTAAGCTCGAGTCCTGGAGTGTGAGGACGGCGGGAGAGTGTGTGTGTGTTTGTGCTCCTGCTGTGCTAAAGAAAACTCACTTGAGCGCACTTCTAACAAGAGAACTCGAGACGAGATCTGCTGCTATAATGGCATAATATTATATTAGCATTGAGTGGGAGTCTATGCAATAAGACTAAGATATCCTATACTAGTTTGGTGAAGACCAATGCTAAATGTTGATATTTTATATATTGATTTTTGTTTTCCCCAGTAGAGAATAAAAATCAAACTCATACTGAAGGTTAGTCTGAAAGAGCATTTGGTTTATATTGCGCACAACAATAGCAGAAGATTACAGTTTCAATCTACAATATTAGATTGTTAAGTTTCTGAAGAGCATTTTTGAAGTTCAAAGTGGGCGGAGCCAGCAGACGCCATTTTGTCAGCGCGTCACTCTCAGATTAACGAACAAGTGCAGCGCAGCGGATTAGGGGAGGTGACGTGACGCTAACAGATAAACGGCCAGTAGTGACATCAGCGGCAATCCACCTGTCACTCAAGTAGCCACGCCCTTAATTATGCAGAACTTTAAAGCTTAAAGTAGTAAAGTTTGAAAAAACTTTTGCTGATAATTTACTCGCCCCCATGTCATCCAAGATGTCCATGTCTTTCTTTCTTCAGTCGAAAAGAAATTAAGGTTTTTGATGAAAACATTCCAGGATTTTTCTCCATATAATGGACTTCAATGGGGTCCTGACAACAATTCTGACTAAATGTCGCAATTCTGACTTTTTATCATCCAATTCTGACTTAATATAACACAATTCTGACTTAATATAAGACGGAATTCTGACTTTATATCTCGCAATTCTGACTAAATGTCGCAATTGTGACTAAATGTCGCAATTCTGACTTTTTATCTCGCAATTCTCGATTTTTATCTCAGAATGTGTGATATAACTCACTTTGACCTTATATCACGCAATTCTAACTTTATATCTCGCAATTCTAACTTTATATCTCGCAATTCTGACTTTATATAACGCAATTCTGACTTTATATCTCGCAATTCTGACTTTATATCTCGCAATTCTGACTTTATATCTCGCAATTCTGACTTTATATCTCACAATTCTGACTTTATATCTCGCAATTCTGACTTTATATCTCGCAATTCTGACTTTATATCTCGCAATTCTGACTTTATATCTCGCAATTCTGACTTTATATCACGCAATTCTGACTTTATATCACGCAATTCTGACTTTATATCTCACAATTCTGACTTTATATCTCGCAATTCTGACTTTATATCTCGCAATTCTGACTTTATATAACGCAATTCTGACTTTATATAACGCAATTCTGACTTTATATCACGCAATTCTGACTTTATATCTCGCAATTCTGACTTTATATCACACAATTCTGACTTTATATCTCGCAATTCTAAATTTATATCACGCAATTCTGACTTTATATCACGCAATTCTGACTTTATATCTCGCAAT